TTGGGGGCCATGAGGGCTCCCTGTTCTCTGTCGAGGTGTCTAACATCTCTCCCACCACCTCTTTCCCAACTCCAGGCATGGCTACAATTTTGTGGTGGCCATCCCTGCAGGTGCTTCGAGCATCGACATCCGCCAGCGGGGCTACAAGGGGCTTATTGGGGACGACAACTACCTGGCCCTGAAGAACGGCCAAGGCAAGTACCTGCTCAATGGGCACTTCGTGGTAACTGCTGTGGAGCGGGACCTGGTGGTGAAGGGCAGCCTGCTCCGGTACAGCGGAACTGCGACTGCGGTGGAGAGCCTGCAGGCGTCCCGGCCCATCCTGGAGCCACTGACTGTGGAGGTCCTGTCTGTGGGGAAGATGACCCCTCCCCGGGTGCGCTACTCTTTCTATCTGCCCAAGGAGCCTCGGGAAGATAAGTCCTCCCATCACAAGGACCTCCGGGGCTCCTCTGTTCTGCGCAACAGCGTCCTCAGCTTCTCCAACCAGGTTGAGCAGCCCGACGGCAGGCCCCCTGCTCGCTGGGTGGCGGGCAGCTGGGGGCCTTGCTCCACGAGCTGTGGTAGAGGCTCACAGACTCGGGTCGTGGACTGCCGCGCCTCCCTGGGCCAGCTCTCGGCCTCTGCCTGTGATGCAGCCCATCGGCCGGTGGTGACACGGGACTGCGGGGAGCCCTGCCCAGCTTGGGAGATTGGGGCATGGTCACCTTGCTCCAAGAGCTGTGGTAGGGGATTTAAGAGACGGCCTCTCAAGTGTGTGGGCCAGGCGGGACGACTGCTGGCTCGGGACCAGTGCAACCTGCACCGGAAGCCCCAGGAACTCGACTTCTGCATCTTGAGGCCATGCTGAACTAGACCCTCTCTGCCTCTCACTCTCTGCTCCTCACTGGTGCCACCACGTCTAGCCAATAGGAATAGTTGGCAGTGGGCAATGGCCTGGGGCCCACCCTGAAGCCACCTGCATCCAGGGACAAGGACGGTGGACCAGTCGAGAGAGTTCCACCTCCTCGTTGGCCTGGATGGGAGGCTGCTGACTTCAGTCTACCTCATGCCCACTTCCCCACGGTCTAGTGTGGGGAGGGCTGAGAGGTGTGTGCACTGGGCAGAGGCACTGAGGCCCAGATCCAGAGGGGCCAGAGGATAGGCACCTCCTAAGCAGAATTTCAGGGACCCTGACTCCCCTTCAAGGGAGGTCACAGGCTGTTGGAAGAGCCATGGCCCAGCAGCTTGGCACCCTCAGGTGGCCCCAAAGGCCCTTTGACCGTCTCTGAATAAGGCCGGATTTTACGGTGCTTTCAGCCCACTTCCCTTTCCCGACTGACATGGGGGATGAAGACCAAAGGAAAACTTGCTGGAATGGGAAGAAGCTGGTTGGAGGGGAGAGTGGGGCGAGGCATAATTGGTGCAGGGGTCCACTACCCCGCACCATGGGAAGGAAAGGGAACCCTGAGTTCTTCCTTCTACTCTCTGCCTCACTTAGAGAACCTTCTCCCCCCTCTCCTTGTCAGGACATCAGGCGTTCTATGTGGCTACCCTGCAGACCGAGGTAGAAAATCAATAGGGACCTTGTGATCTGCAAGAAGGGATCAAAGTATTAAAAGAAGATTCTGGAATTTATGAGGGGGTAGATACCTGGTCTAAGGGCCTCTGAGGAGGGATTGTGAGGGCCTGCTATCCCTGGGGCCGGGTGGAAATGGCCCTTTGGGTCCTGGGTCTGCCTTTGGGTTGCTAAGACCAGGTCTCACCTCATGAGGAGGGTCCCGTTGGTATGGCGTCTTCCTTCGGAGAGAACCCATCTCTGTATTACCTCAGAGAGCCCACACAGTGGCTACAAGCCTGCACCCATCAAGTAGAGAGAGGGAGAGGAGAGAGACCTAGGAACACCCGGCTGCCCCCGGGCTCTGCTTCAGTCTTGACAGCTTGAGGCTGTTTGGTCCTGGCACTTCATTCGGCTGCCCCAGGTCTTGGCTTTTTCAGTCAACAAATGGGGTTCCCTCTTTGCTACCTCAGGTGATGCTCTCTGGGAAGCAGACCGTGTCCCTTCCCCGCTGCTTCTGCCAGCCCACATGTCTTGCTTCTCAGACCAAGCTGCCCACCACACGGAGGGCATGCTTTTCTGTCCCCTCCACGACTAAGCCACCTTCTGGAAGCAGTTTCTCTCTTCATGGTCCTTGGAGGCAGACTTTTGGAAGCATCAAGAATAATTGGCTTGACCTGGAGACCCTTAGCCGCTCCCAATCAAGTGCTCGAAAGTGTCTTCGGAGACTTGTTCAACCAAACCCATTGCCATTGAGTTGATCTGACTCCTAGCAGCCCTACTGGACAAAGTGAAACTGCTCTTTAAGGTTCGCGAGGCTGTAAATCTGTACAGGAGTAGACAGCCTCTCATGCTTTTGACCCACCGACCTTGTAGCCCCAAACTGAAGTCACAACGCCACCAGGGTTCATAGACATGTTTGGGGATGAGCAACCAGAACATTTCATGGAGCACAAGTCTGGAGACGCTTTGGGCATTAGGGACTATTTGACCCAGCAGAATCTTTCTTGAGGGTACACGTGCCCTCACATGTAGGTGGAGCATTTCGTTCTGAGGGTAGTGTAGAAAGTTCCGGTACCACTTCCATGGAGAATTGCCATAGGTGGTACCAAAGCAAGGACTTTTCCTGGGAAAAGGGCTTCTGGCTTTTTATTTCATTTTTCCCTTCATAGTCTGGAGACCCAGGAGAGAGCTCCCACAGGAGGGCAGTAGGTATGAATTTCCCGTAGGGGAAGTAGGGAGGTGAGGAGGCCTCCCATTGATGCCAGTGAACATAAGACGGGGCCACCAGTGCAGAAATGAAGACTTGGTGGCTGACGACAGCCCTGCCCTGTGCATGGGGTGGTCCCTTCAGGAGAGGAGGGTGTGGCATGGGTGCTGTGCAGGATGGGCGGGGAGGGGGTGGTGGTGGGTGGGCATGCCTCAGTAGGGCTGACAGCCCCCTAGCAGAGCAACTCTTACTATCAGTCACTTTACAAACCATTTCAAGGGAAAACACCCAGGCTTGTTCCTGATACAAGCTAGGCCTCAATACTCTTCAGTTATGGTGACTATCCGCCTCCCCCCACCCCCTGCTTTAAAAAGAAGTGTGACACCCAGATGTCTTGGAACCTTTTGCTGATCATCAACTGTGCTCTCTAGGGCAGAGCAGAGACAAGACTCGAGGGGCAGGTATCTGGTGGTGGGATAAAAAGTTGGGGTGGTATCTCACATTAGGGAAGGAGGGGGACCTGAAGGCTCTTGGAGCTTCCTCAGTGGTGTACAGGCCAAGAAGAACTTGGGCTCAGGATTCCCTGCTTCCTTCGCCTGTTCTGTGCACTGATCAGAGGCGCCTGACCCAACCTCTTTCTTTATGGACCTTGTCATGCTGGAATGGGGACTGGAAAGAGCTAAGGACAGTTTGAGGGACCTCCATGCTCCTAGGACGTGACCTCCCCAATGCACTGGGCACTACCATCTGTGGGTCTTCCTAGCCTTCTCCTTTGAGTCGGCTTCTTTTGCATTCTATGCCCTGCAAAAGGACTGAAGAATGTGGGTGCGGGCTGCCTGTGTATACTGTGTATACCTGGGGATTGGTTGCCATGGTAAGAGCAGCCTGCTCCAAATAAAGTGGTGTCAAAAACCCGTGTCTTGCCTTTGGGACCTTATCTCATCCAGTCACTGTTTCTGCACATTTGTGGAACACTGCATGCCCCCTGCATGCCAGCCATGTGATGGTAGTTGGTATGGAAATGGCAAGGGACTGGAAGGGACTCAGCTTGAGGAAACAAGCAAACAAAAGATTAATTGTCAATTGTGGTTACATGCTAAGAAGAAAGAAATTGGAGGCCAAGTCAAAGAATGTGTGTGTGTGTGCTGTGTGTAGAGGGTAGAGTGACCAGGGAGAGACAGTCCTCCCAGAGAAAGCCGCGGCTCCCCTAAGCTCCAGGAGGAGGCCCAGTAGGCTGTCAGCTGAGGAAAGTACCTATGTGTGTAGACCCCAGCCCCCGGGCCTGTCCTGTGGTGAGAACAGGGGATGAGAATGCGACCCAGGGAAGGCCAGAGGGACCCCATCATGCAGTTATACCAGGCACCTGTCTTAAGAGGAGACACCAAGTTTCACAAGAAAAATGACATTTCAGCCAGAGAACGTGACTCATTTTCCCAGTTCCGGTTTAGTCCAATGCTTCTAACAAGTACCTAGTCTGCAAGAACAGCAGACGAGATGTCCGGCAACGTAAGTGTTGGCTTCAGATCCAAGCCCTTATCTTGGAATCTCATCTCCTGTCCACAGAGTAAGAAAGGAAAACAATTGCTGCAGAGTGGATTCTGGTGTACAGCAACCTCACGCGCGTTAGAGTCCAATTGTCCAGTTTCCCAGAAGCTGATTTTAAATGGCTGATTTTTTATTGTGGAAATAAACCAGTGGCAACTTCTGAGTGGATTTGAACTGCCAACCTTTCAGCGAGCAGCCAAGTACTAAATGTGTGCTCCACCCAGGAACTCTGCGAAGTGAGAAAGGCCAGTTTAACATTCCCCAGCAGTGCCTATAGATTGAACAGTCTTAGTCTCAGGGCGCAGTTTATTTGCTTGCTGATAGGCTGAGGTTTAGCGATGAAAGGGTTTTTTCTCCTGCCCTTCTGTGGTAGTTATAATCGTTTGTCATTTTGAGGATTAAGAATATAGGAGTGGAGTCTAGCCTGTCAATCAGATCATAGCCAATGAGGCCTGTGTATGGGCATGGCCTTGTGAGAATTCTGGGAAATCCAGTATTTCCTCCTTGGAGGTTGGAGACTGCTCACACTGTGGGAGACATAGCAGCTGACAAGACACATGGACTGACCCTGATACAGAGACCCCTGCCAGTGGTGAGATGTTTCCAGTGCCACTGGATCCAAGGACTTTCTACTCACTGGCCTGTGATCTTCTACATTTGGTGTCATTGCATGTGTTTCATGAGTCTGAAGAGGCCTTTATAGAGTGGTATCAGACATATGGGCCAATATTGGACTTATGGACTTGATCTGGACTGGGCTGGGATGTTTTCTCAATGTTCAATTGCTCTTGTATATAAACCTCTTTCTTATACACATATGTGTGTCCATGGATTTGTTTCTCTAGTCTACCCAGACTCACACACCTTCCTTCAGAGCAAGTCCTGGGGGTGAAGAGCTTCCTTGGAAGTCAGCAGTAGCCTGAGGGTAACTTGAGGAACATGCAAGTGGGGGGAGAGGGGAGGGTCTAGAGCAGGGCTTGGTCAAAGCACGCTGTAGCACATGGTAGCAAAATCCTGGTGGAAGGAGGAGCTAGCCACAGAGCCCTCCTGGCTCTTGCTGAGGTCTGGAGTAATCGAATGGAGTACAGTGAACCCTCGTTTATCGCGGTTAATCGGTTCTAGACCCTACCGTGATAAATGAAATTCCGCGAAGTAGGATTCCTTATTTGT